GGTCCGCTTCAAGGACGGTGATGATTGGCTGATTCATCAAAATGGTACCAAGTTTAAAATGGATGTGTATGGTAGGCTATATTACCTTAGCACAGTAGAGGATGAAAATACTGATGATGTTTGTAATGGTTGTCATGACATCCAGACATGGCATAGAATACTTGGTCATTGTAATTTTGAGGATGTGTCTAAACTAGAGAAAGTGGTTAAAGGTATGTCGATCAAAGGGAAACATGACATGTCTAACCATAACTGTGAAATATGTACGCAGGGAAAATTTACTCAAAGCAGAAACAGGCAGGCAGATGTAAAAGCTAAGACAGTACTGGAGCTAGTACATACAGACCTATGCGGTCCAATAGAACCAGCAGATAAAGACGGGTACAGATATGCAATAGCATTTACTGATGATTATAGTGGGATGATTTTTCCCTACTTTATCAAAGCACAGAGTGATACAGCAAAAGCTACTGAGAAATTCATAGCGGATACTGCTCCATATGGATACATTAAGTGCATAAGATCTGACAACGGTACTGAATTCACCGGGCATGAGTTTCAAACTTTACTTAGGACGAAAGGGATAAGGCACGAGACAAGTGCACCATACTCACCTCACCAGAACGGTACTGCAGAGAGAGGTTGGAGGACCTTATTTGAGATGTCACGATGCATGCTATTAGAGAGTAACCTCCCAAAGCAGTTATGGACATATGCTGTACAAACAGCAGCACAGATACGTAACAGGTGTTACTGTAAGCGTCTAGAGCAGACACCATACCGTGTTTTTACTGGCAAAACACCCAACTTGTCCAACATGAAAATATTTGGCTCTGAATGCTACGGGTATAAGCAGGATAAGAAGAAGCTAGATTCTAGATGTGCAAAGGGTATTTTTGTAGGATACGACAAATATAGCCCAGCATTCCAAGTATTTTATCCTGAGACAGGGAAAGTCCTGAAACATAGGCTGGTAAAATGTATCACAAAGAGTAGCGCAGATAGTCAGACTCAGACAAATCGTAATATGGATGATGACACTTATGGAGAAATTATTCCCACAACACCAGCAGGGACAAAAATGGTCAACCAGAATCAGAGAGAGCCTAATGTGGGTGTACAGTCCGATAGTGAGGAGAATATTGAGGCTAGTCAGATCCAGACAGATAGTACTCAAAGAGAACAGGGAGAGAGTGCACGACGCTATCCCACTAGACAAAGAAACGCTCCAGAATATTTATTGGAGTATCAGTGTAAGGCTGATTGTAATGATGAAGGTGAAAATGTAGATTATTTCTACAGAGTTGCTTGTGACGTACCCAAAACATACATGCAGGCTGTAGGCTCTAAGAAATCAAAAATGTGGGCTGATGCAATGAAAGAGGAGATTAACTCTTTAACAGAGAATGAGACCTTCAGTCTGACCACACTGCCAAAAGGCAAGCAAGCAGTGGGAGGTCGTTGGGTATATGCAGTAAAGGAAAGCCCAGATGGATCTGAGATTTTTAAAGCCAGATATGTAGCTAAAGGCTATAGTCAAGTAGAGGGAATTGATTACAAGGAAACTTTTTCACCGACAGCAAATATGACTTCTGTACGTACATTGATGCAGGTGGCTATACAGGATGATCTTATCCTACACCAAATGGATGTGAAAACAGCTTATCTCCATGCACCAATAGACTGCGAGTTATATATGGAAAAGCCCGAAGGTTTTGAGGCTAAATCTAAAACAGGGGAACACTTAGTGTGCAAACTCAACAAGTCATTGTATGGTTTAAAGCAATCCGGGCGGAACTGGAACAAGTTACTGCATGATCATCTTACAGAGAATGGGTTTGTGCAAAATGATGCTGATCATTGTGTCTACAGAAAAGAGTCTGAGAACGAAAGAGTTATTCTGTTGATATGGGTAGATGACCTACTCATAGCAGCCAATAACAACGGCTCACTCAGTGATGTCAAAGAGATGTTGAAGAGGAAGTTTAAAATGAAAGATTTGGGTGAACTTAAACACTTCCTAGGTATCGACTTTACACAGAGTGAGGGGGAGATCAAAATGAGCCAAAAGAGACACATAGCAAAGATGCTAGAGAGGTTTGGCATGTCAGAGTGCAAACCAAGGTCAACTCCATGCGAGCAAAAGTTACATTTTGACACTGAGGGTGAAGTTATCGATTCAACAGGATACAGAGAGATAGTAGGTAGCTTGATATACATTATGACATGTACTAGACCTGATCTGAGCTGGATTGTGAGTAAACTATCACAACACTTAGCAGAACCAAAACAACAACATTGGGCTGCAGCAAAACAACTGTTGAGGTATCTAAAGGGTACTATAGACCAAGAGCTACATTACAAGAAAAGTGAGGAAAGCCTAAAGCTTGAGGGATACAGTGATGCTGATTGGGCAGCCGATCAAAATGATAGGAGAAGCACAACTGGATATTGTTTCAGCTTAACTGAAAATGGTCCAGTTATATCCTGGAAAAGTAGGAAGCAGCCAACAGTGGCGCTATCGACCTGTGAGGCCGAGTACATGGCATTAGCGGCTACTACTCAAGAGAGCATGTACCTTGTACAGCTATTAAAAGGGGTAGACCTTAATAGCCCACATGTACCAGTGAAGATATATGAGGACAACCAGGGAGCAATAGCTCTATCCAAAAACCCTGTATCCAGACAGAGAAGCAAGCATGTAGACATCAAATACCATTTTGTACGATCTGCACATGCTGAGGGGAAGATATCTATTACATATTGTCCTACTGCAGATATGGTAGCTGATGTCCTAACCAAGCCGTTGACAAAGGCTAAATTTGACAAGTTCAAAGGGTATTTGTTTGGAGAGTAATGTGAATTGCAGGTGTAAAAATTGAACACTGCTAGAGAAGTTTTTTTTGTTTATTTGGATTCTGTGTACCACTGTAGAGAGTTATTAACATGTCTTTGAGTGGGAGTGTTAAGCATATTTGTATATGAACAAAGTCATGTTTCAGTTCATCTGTATGACATCATCAGAATGTGCCTGAGTGAAAGAAACGTGGTCATGCTAATGAGCATGCGCAGATTCAATAAACGGCCCGTACTCCAGGCCAAACTCTGAGCGATGTGGTCGTGTGTGTTTTTCTGTCCGTAGCATACTTACAAACTACTTTGGTTGACTGCAAACGTGGAGACTTCTGCTGAATATAATGTCTCACGCAACAACTTCAATACAGTGTAGAATCATATCTTTTTACTTCAGGAGTTATTGTGCAAAGGCTTCATCTGGTAAAGAGTTTTAGGATTTCTTTGCTATTTTCACAGTGATGTCAACATATCTGGAACGTTTTTTAGTGGTATTGAATGTCTAAAAATCATTTAGTGATTACTGTGAGCTGGTCCAGATCCCAATGATCTTAGTCCATGCACCTCCATCACTTTCATTGCCCCCCGGATGACTCACTTTGCCTGCTGATGGGCCTTTCTCAGACAAGTAATTACATTTCAGTCTCTGATCTGAGGCACAATTAGATTGACTTTTAAGAGCTGCTCACTGGCACATGCTGGATATGCAGTTTGATGGAAAAAGGACCACATAGAAGGCTTGTGACTTAAATATTAAAGGGGCCCTATTATGCTAATGTTCAGGTTCATATTAGTATTCTGTGCCTCTAATCTGACATCTTTACATGCTTTAATGTTCAAAATGGTCTTTATACTGCCAGTTCTGCAGCACCTCTTTTCACCCTCTGTCTGAAACCCGAGCCCAGTCTGCTCTGATTGGTTAGCTGGCCTGCTCAGTTGTGATTAGTCAACCGCTTTTGACATGTGTTGGACAATGTGTTGGAGCGCTAGCCAATAGGAGCGCAAGTGTTACCGAGGGTGTTTCTCAATCGCGAGTACGCTTGCTTGGTAGCACATGTCTGCCGAGCATCTTGCTTCAGAAGCGAGTCAAGAATACTTCCTGGCATTCGGAAAACGAAGTGTGGAACACGCTAGCAAGTGTGCAGGTGTGCGTCATATGAGAGGCCCCGCCTTACATCTTCTGCCACAGATTTGGGGAAATTGGTCCGTGCGCAAAGCATTGTGGGTATTTTAAGACCGCGAAGTCTACTCATGTGCAGACTCGATATTTCTCCAAACGGAGTACGCCGGGCTCGGTAGATTTCCAAGTATACTGGAGATTGGAACAGTACTTCGGCGGCACTCGATGACGTAGTATGCTTGAAATAGTGGCTCTGAAGCAGCTTTACTCGTGATTGAGAAACACCCATAGTGAAGTCACCATGTTAACAAAGAAGGGCAGGGTGAGATGGTGTGGGAGAGAAACAAAGGGAACTTTGGGATTTCAGCCTTTGCAGACCATTAACATGCACAAAAACCTATAAAATACACTACAGGAAATGGAAAGCCCCAAAAAGCATAATAGGGCCCCTTAAACATTTTCAATTAATTAAATATCTTTATCAGACGGCAGTTATTGAGCTATGTGATTAAATATATTCACACAACCGTCTTTGAGACAAAACATTTTATGAATCTTCAGCACTTTACATGTCATAAACACATTTTCCATCTGACATGTGACCCTCCATTGTGCTCCTCTAACCAACATAACGGATATCGATCCATTAGACTTTAGTCTTAAGTCATTTTTCACCACTGACATTTGTATTGCTCTCAAGCGTCCAGATGGATTCACACTTCCCCACAATCTTGTTAGAGAAACCATTTTATGGGAAATGTCCATGTTATTAGATTACTGCTCATCGTTCTCCTTGTGAGTCTCCTGGATGTTTCCTCCTGTATCTATCATGATGCTGAACCCATCAGGTTGAAAGACAAAGGCAACAAATATTTATATTTCTCAAACATGGCATGCAGTTTTATTTTGTAAAAAACAATTGTCAGTGTTTTTTGGTATACTGTTAGTAATATAAAGTCCAAACTTGAGTTGATAGAAGACATTTATTGCACTGAATGTCTACGATACATTGATATAAATCTGCTGTTTGTAAGGTTTTTCTCAGCTATGAAATGATTTAGTTTATTTTTAATAGACACATTGTCTAAATGGTGTTGATGCAAGTCAGGTCAAGTGAAATAGAAACTACTAATTGCATTGTCGTACGTTGGGGTCCATCAGGGTGTGATATATGAGCTGAATCCACTGCACAGACAGGGACTTTGAGAGGACGAGATGTCTTTCAGATGATGCCCTCTGTCACTGTTTGTTCCCAATAACAACAGCAACCACTGGCAGCCCATAACTGAGCTGCTGCAGACGTCTGAGGAGGCGCTCGGATTTGCTGTTGTTGCCGCAGTCAGCTGATGGAGGAGATTCCAGACTCTGGGCCAGCGAAGACTGAGGCAACGGTGGACTTTACAGCTGTACACCGTCCGACAGGTCTGAGTGGTTTGAGCCGTAGCTGTTGATGAAGCCGAGCTCTGGGGCTTTGGGCACTGTTGGCTCCTTGATGACCTGCAGAGGACAGACGTATACTTAGAGAGCCACCATTCACAGTATCAGGACCCTGAAACTGTTGCAGCTGATACCAATACATTTAGTCTTGCCCAAAATAAAATATAATTGAGTTAAGGATTCTTAGCTACTTTAGTGAGAAAATAAAACCTTTGACATCAACACGTGTTGAGGTTCAAGAAATGATGCCTTTTACTTACCTCATCAAATTTTCTGTCACTGTAAACTTCATTCTTGTCAATAAACGTCAGCATGATCCAGTCACAGATAATGGTACACTGAAGGTGTGACATAAGAAGAAAAAACAGTTTGTGGTGAGAATAGGGAAAGCTTCAACTTTAAAGTCTTAATGTAAAAATACTTACAATGCCAACTGAAGTCATGGCAGTCACTGTGCTGATGATGGTTGGGATGGGACTGAATTTACCAGCCTGAAAAAGAAAGTACATGAAAAAAAGGCAGAACAAGAAAGACAGTCACCATGTTAAACTGAAAATAAACGTAAGTGATGACGGAGTATCTGTCACTCACTTGTCCATGAACTATGACATCCAGACGGATGCCGTAGGCCTTAATGAGCGTCCGGGACTCTACCCCTTCTCTACTGTAGTATTTGGCAAACCTGTAGTTATACAGAAATTACAAACGCTGAGAAACTTAGCACATGCTTAGTTTTAAATATTTTGGTTGTTTGAGCTCACCTGTAATAGTAACCAGAGCTGGCCTGGTCCTTTCGAAGATCAAGACGACGGAAGGAATACGTTGGTTGACAATATGAATAATCCAGGTCCAGGTTACAGTTCCAGTTAATGAAAACCCCAATCACTCCTCCCTGTGCAACAACAGCATTAGTCATATCTTAAGTAATACTACACTATCACCAAGTAGGTCCTTTCTAATCCCAAAATCAATATTACTTATTTTTTTCCTTTTACCTGTACCATTGTTTTTCCATTACATTTGAGATAACCAAGACACCTCTTCTGCCAATGTCTCGAATTCTCTACAACTACCATCAACACAATTGTGACTGATAAGGGGTGAGTGGTCTATCTGAGATACTGTATCAAAGAGGCAGTATGTGTTGTTTAAAAAAACAAGTAAAAGCAGACATTTTATACTCACAGTCTTGCAGAGTTCACTGAAGTCCTCCCTAGCTTGAGCTGCGATGTAGCCCAGGCGAAAGTTTGGACAGTACGGGTTAGTCTCCTTATCATAATGACACTTGTTGAGGAATCTCCGCATTTCCTTTGGGTTTGAAATATCTTTTATATTTCCCCTGCAAGATACAAGAACATTTGTATGTGTGTGTGTGTGTGTGTGTGTGTGTGTGTGTGTGTGTGTGTGTGTGTGTGTGTGTGTGTGTGTGTGTGTGTGTGTGTGTGTGTGTGTGTGTGTGTGTGTGTGTGTGTGTGTGTGTTTGCTTTACCTCAGCACTTTGAATCCGGGGAAGTGGATAGAGTTCCTGATGAACACTGTAAAATTGATGGCCTCCACTAATGCCGGTTCTCTGAGGACAAACAAATCAAAATCATAGTTTTGTGTTGCAGAAAATGTGTTTCTTTTAGTTTTATAGTATAGTTTTCCACAGTTTCACATTAGATTCCATTCAAATTCAAAGGCAAAATGCTCTCTTAAACATTTATAAGACATGTGTTTAATTATTTGCATAGGTGTGCACCACAGGCGATCCCAGTATTATAGCTTTGTCCAGCCTTTCACCATACCTGTATTTACGTTTTTCTTAACTTGTTTATGGGTGACGGTTCATTTGATTGTAAATAAACCTACTCGGGACAACCTTTGGGAGGATAATCCATCATCTTGTAAGCCTTACCTTACAACAGCGTACCGCTCAATAGGACACCATGTTTGGATCTCGCAAGTTTTGAAGGTGTGGTTGTAGTACTGAACACATCTGCCGGTCCTTCTTCCTGTTAGAAAATATAAAAAATAGACACAAACTGTGGAAAAGAACGATCAATGAAGCTTGGAGGAAGGTTTTGTGAGTAGTAAAAAAAGTACCATGGCCGTCAAAGTCAACCTCCCCCTGGACACAGTCACTGTCTCTTGTACAGTTGGCATTGGCAACCATGAAATGCTGAATGGAATAAAACAGATTATAGCTTTGTCTTGCAGACAATGTCATTGAGAAAGTTCCTGTTGACCTCTCACCTCAGCACAGGTTCCTTGCTTCTGATCATAGGTTACTTCTCTTCTCAATATTGTACTAATCACATCACCGCCCTGTGAGGAAAATGCCAAATTAATCGGCAGTAGGACATAACGATGCAGACAGAGTTCAGGAGGTGGAAAATCATTAACTGTATTGGAGCATTTGGGCTTACCTCTGAGGGTCGAACGTACTCCACAGTGTCTAAGATATCATCTCCACGAACTGCAGTGCCTTTCATTAGTGTGTAAACTGAGCTCTCTGGACGGGTTTCACTCTCTTGGTAGGCTTTCTCACTTATGAAGACAAACCTTCAGGATGATAGAACAGACAGATGCAATATCACATTTTCTGTCATGACGTCGATTTATGTTGGAGGTATCACATTTCCCCTAGATCTGTTCAAACCTCTTTGCTGAAACCATGAAAACAAGAAAAGATGAGGCACTCTAATAATACAAATCAAGAAATATAAGATATAGTTTACGATTTGAAACAAGTACAAATTCATAAAATCAAAGTCTAACCTATGGAAACTGCTCTCAGTTCAAATTACACGTCTAGTAAAGGACACAGAGAGACCCCGAGATCTAAATTCCCAAACCCATGTCTCTCTGTATTATTTATTTGTATCCAGAATAATTTCCTTGCCACACAACTGCAATTGATGGGTTAGAGAATTTAAAGTCAGAACACATGTTTTATCCATATTCACTCTTTTACACACTAAAAGAAACATTAAAACAAAAACATGTTAACATAATATTTAGAAAGCTTTTTCGTTTCTTAAATTGCCCCTTTAGATCATACACGGGGCTTTCAAGTACACAAACATGAAGCTTACCAGATGAAATAGGTGATCACAAGAAACTGAACGCCTCTGTATATCACTCCAAGAGTTTTGTTTTTAACCACCATCACCTTTGGTGTCTCATAATCCCAGAAACCAAGAAAATAATCCTTTACAAAGTCACGAAGCCCCATCATGAACTTGTGAAATAGTTCACACATATTCTGAGATGTCCTTGTGAAGTCTTACTTCTCTATGATGCAGTCTCTCTGTATCTAGCTTTTTATTTCTCTCTCTTTATTTCTCACTCCCTGATCCTGCTCAGCTCCATCTGCATCTCTCTCAAGCTGCACAGAGAGGCAGAGGAGAAGGGGGTGGAGTCCAGCCTTCATGCCTTTCATTTTATGTCTGTTTATTCTGATGATTGTTCAGCTTTTATGATATTTACAGCTGATCAAACTTAAGATCTAAACAAAGTGTTTACAGTTCTGCAGATTAATTTACATGAAACACTGTTTTTGAAAATAATGTACGGACATTTTGATGAATGAAGCTCTTTTGTCACTGTTTTATATATATTATTCACTGTATTCCCTTCGTTGTTTCTTATCTTTTTTACACAGGCGGACAAACGGCCACCCCCTCACTTTGGGTCCTAGTTCCTTCTCGCAGCACTTCCTCCGCGCATGTCAAACAACACGTGCATTGGCTGCTGGTCTCGGTAGCTGTTGCTGTGTTTGTCTTAACCGCTTAATTTATATACATTTAGATTTACCTACACTTGTTTGTAGGGCCACATATCACTTCTAAATGGGAGGTACTCAAAAGAAAAAGGTAAGAGTTGACTTCGGGATATTGTCAGAGCCATGCACTAACTATAGCAACCTGGTTAGCTAGTTAGCTAACGAAGCTAAAGTTTGTTTCACTGAAATCGTGAAATCAGTTGTTTGTAGATCAACGTTTTAATATCAAAGCATTCAGTTAATTGCTTTTTACTTGTGATGATTTAATGTGGTCGTCTGTCCTGTTTTTTTCAGTATGAGAGGGGCTCTGTCACCAACTACATCACCAGAAACAAAGCTCGCAAGAAGTTATCGCTGAGCCTCCCAGACTTCAGGTAACCGCACTGTTCATGCATCATGGTGCATGTGTTTGAATATATACTCTCAATTCCCGGTTTATTAGGTTTACATTAATGTATACCTTTATTACATCTTACTTTGGTTAACATTTTCAGTTTTGTTTTAATTTGGTGTTGATTTAAGTTCATAGTCATTTTGGTAGCTATAGTTAGTTAGTGACTAAGTTGAGTTTGCATTAAAATGACATAAAATGTTTTCAAAAAAACGTCCCAAATATACAAATGCCAAGATACGCAATACACATTCCCTCACTACATATATAAACACACTGAAAAACAAAATAAGTAATTTTTTTCAATCTTATTTATATCAATGGTGGACAAAATATAAGAAGGACCTCTCAATATAACGCATTACCTGACTCTGGCCAACAGGGCCATACACAGCAGCCTCTGAATTGTCCATTGTGTTGAGTAAACATCTCTTTAAAACAACTAAAACTCAACAAAACAGGCTTCATGGAGGGATGATCTTCAGTTAGAGTCCCTTAGTTATTACTGGGTTAGTGAAATAACTGAATATTCAATTTGAAACTAGTTTATAGACAAAATAAACAACCAGAAATATCCAACTTCTACCTCAGATGGTTTTACTAATGTCGGCCCTTGCCAAAAATAGTTTTCACCGTTAGTTTTAATTTGTGACTTTTATTCTCTGTTCCTTAATTCTTCTAAAAATTGTGACATTTTCACTATTGACACTGATTTTCTTTTTTATTTCTGTCTTTGATTTGAATAATTTAATCTAGAGAAAAGCATAAGATTGACATATTTCAGAGTCAGCAAATTGTTAGATTTGTTTAATAATGGCCCAGACAACTGAAAATTCAAATCAGTTTTCCAAATTGTTAACCATTCATTTGACTATCATCAAAGAAATAAGCGCTAACATATACATCACGACACCTAAACCTACCATCGAACATGGCATGACATCATTCCTAAAGACCAGGCATTCACAGACACATTTTTCCTGATCTCTGTGATTTCCAGGCGACTGTGCATCCTTAAAGGCATCTACCCTCATGAGCCCAAGCACAAGAAGAAGGTGAACAAGGGATCTACAGCCCCGAGGACCTTCTACCTGCTCAAAGACATCCGCTTTCTTCTGCACGAGCCAATTGTTGGCAAGTTCAGAGACTACAAGGTATCACCACATATTTTTTTAAATGTTCAAAATGTCACCATCTTCTCAACATGCTTATATTCACTAGTATAATTGGGAAAAGATTGTAATTGTAATTGAACCTTGTTAAATTCTGTTTTAGTCTGTTTTTTACTTTTGTGAAAGTTATCGAAATGTTAATATTGTTTTTCTGTAAACGGTGTCTCATTCCCAAAGTGTTTTTTTCTCAACAGGTATTTGTACGCAAACTTAAGAAGGCTTATGGAAAAACAGAATATACTAATGTGCAGAGACTGAAGGAGAACAAGCCGACATATAAACTGGACCACATCGTCAAAGAAAGGTGAGACCGTGTTAACCTGCACCCTCAACACCGGAGGGCACTGTTGAGCTTACATGGTTCTTCATATCCATTCAAAGCAGAGAGTATCAGCTAACATTTTTGTATAACTACAGAATGTAAAGAGTGGCATGTCCGCAGTATTTCATTTAGCTTATTTTTAAAAAACGTTTTAGAGGTTCTGTCTCCTCACTGGTTCTCCTTTTTGTGGCAGGTACCCGTCCTTCATTGATGCTCTCCGTGACGTCGACGATGCCCTCTGCATGTGCTTCCTCTTCTCCACTTTCGCCCGAACAGGAAAGTGCCACGTTCAGACAATCACGCTGTGCAGGCGCCTCACTGTGGAGTGGATGAACTATGTCATCGCATCCCGTTCTCTCAGAAAGGTGCGACACTACTGTAAACCCTTGTACTTTGTTTTGAGTAAACATAAAAATCAAATGGGGGGGGGGGGGGGTTTAATTGATATATCTTGAGTTCATTGACCTCTGTTCTGTAACGATCTAATCACCTGCCTGTTCTTCATAGGTGTTCATCTCCATCAAGGGAATATATTACCAGGCCGAGGTGATGGGACAGCTCATTACCTGGCTGGTGCCATATCAGTTCGCCCATGATGTGAGTACATGACGAAATGCAGTCCACAGTAATTATGCTAACATGCAGTGGCTTTTGTCTGATAGGATTACACTGAAGGTTGACGCTGCTCTGTTAAACTCATCATACATTAAGAGCTTTCTATAAGCACCTGCCGCAGCCAAACAGCCGACTTCTTAATTAAGTCCTGCAGGCTATTTCATTATATCAACACAAAGACATGTATGGCCTTAGGAATGAATGCTTTATCTTTATTTACATTGCAGTTTTACAATAGGGCTGTCATATAAGCCGTATGTAGTCAATGCTTCAGCTTCACTCTGTCATTTTAAAGTTTAAAATGACCGAGAATGGTTTTGATTTTTTGCCATTAACCAATTTTGCTAACTATTGTCAGATGCCCCAAATTGTGTTTGTAAATAAATATATGATATAATGTACAGAAATCGGCTTAAAAGTCATGTTCCCTTTTGAAATTACCTTATATAGGAGTGTCTTTAGATTTCTACAAAAATATGCAATAACCATTATTGTGGCATGTCCTTAAAATCCTTATGTGTCATAAAATATATATATTTGAAAAATGAAATGAGGAGTAATGCTTGAAGTTCAATCACTCAGGTAAAGGTTTTAAATACTAATATTTACAGACTGAGGGCTCAAATGTACAAGAAGCCTAATTCTCCTAAACAATAATTTATTAGATGTTAAAAATAAGGTAGGCAAACTCGTAAAACACTTTTCTGTATTTAAGATCTGTGCATATGATGGAATAATAGCCTTAGGTTGTGCCAGAGATTGTTCTGTACATTTTTTAAGAGCTGTAAAAGCAGGGTTACCTGCGGCTATTTAATGGAGTTCAACTGACAGCCCCAAGGGTGTGTGTGCTCTCGGAATTATAAATGGCTCTTGAGTGTATGCCCTTGTGTGTATTTATTTTAACCACTGAGACTTAGTTAAACCCTTTGTTTTCCCTTTCAGCACCCAACAGATGTGGACTACAGAGTCATGGCTACTTTCACAGAGCTGTACACCACTCTCCTGGGGTTCGTCAACTTCAGGCTCTACCATTCCCTCAACCTGCTCTACCCCCCAAAGGTATATTGGACTCAACCATCACAGGGGACGTTCTATATACATATGTGTTCGCACACACTTCATTTATAAGGTTATTGTGAGTGGCCAGTCAAGACAATATTTGTTTTACAATAGTTGTTAAAGTAATATATTGATGTTCAGATTAATTATATTCGAGTCAAATAGTAGCTAGGTATGTGGGATAAAATCTTACATTGTAATCTCTTATTGTGAGACATGACATGAGTATAATGCATGTGGGGTTATGTTGCAGAAATACAATAAAGATTAATCTCCATTCAGTCTTCTGTTCGCTCACCTCTACCCCGTTCATGTTATCCTTCCTTTTGCAGCTGGACGCTAAAGCAGAGTCCGAGCTGAAGGAGGAGAATGACGAAGACTACGCCATGAATTCAGAAAGCTACCTGGAGGTAAGGTCTTTCAAAAGAGACATCCTGGATAATAAAAACACTGATTTTGAATTATAAAATGTGTTTTCTTTAATGCTGTGAGCAAACCTCATTGAAAGATACGTCAACTCTTGGAAGATTAAACTAATAGATTGATACAATTTGTCATAGGTGGCAAAACATTATATATCTAAGGAAAACTCAACACTGAAACCCAGTGCTTTTTGTCCTTTCTATATTATTTAATTCATTTACATCTTTAAAAATGATCCCGGTAATTGTGTAAACTTGTAGTTCTGCAAACTACTGTGTTCTTATTTAACTGAACTGATGTTTGTAACGTTCTATACACTGAAATAAATGGTAATTGTTCATGTTATAACATCATTGGAGAATGTTCTTAACTGGTGTGTTTTGGCTCTGCAGAAACTGTCAGCTCTGAGTACGAGTCTGGCCACGGTGGTTGCCACTACAGAAGAGGAGGAGGCTCAACTCGACCAATTTCCTGTTGAAGACGTAAGAAAACCAGT